CATATGCTGGATCATGGAGAAAGCTAGGGAGTTCCAGAAAAACATCTACTTCTGCTTCATTGACTATGCTAAAGCCTTTGATTGTGTGGATCACAACAAATTGTGGCAAGTTCTTAAAGAGATGGGAGTACCAGACCATCTTATTTGTCTCTTGAGAAACCTATATGCGGGTCAAGAAGCAACAGTGAGAACTGGACACTGAACCACTGATTGGTTCAAAATTGGGAAAGGAGTCCAGCAAGGCTGTATTCTGTCATCCTGCCTATTTGACTTATATGCAGAGCACATCATGAGAAAGGCAGTGCTAGATGAATCAAAAGTTGGAATTAAGATTGCAGGGAGAAATATCAACAACCTAAGATATGCAGATGATACCACTCTAATGACAGAAAGTGAAGAGGAACTAAAGAGTCTCTTGATGCGGGTGAAGAAGGAGAGTGCAAAAGTTGGCTTGAAACTCAACATTAAGAAAACCAAAATCATGGCATCCGGCCCTCTCAATTTCTGGCAAATAGATGGGGAAGAAATGGAGGTAGTAACAGATTTTATTTTTCTGGGCTCCAAGATCACCTCAGATGGGGACTGCAGCCAAGAAATTAAAAGACGCTTGCTCCTGGGGAGGAAAGTTATGGCAAATCTAGACAGCATACTAAAAAGCAGAGACATCACCTTGTCAACAAAAGTGTGTATAGTCAAGGCCATGGTTTTCCCAGTTGCAATGTATGGATATGAAAGTTGGACCATAAGAAAGGCTGAGCGACAAAGAATTGAGGCCTTTGAACTATGGTGCTGGAGAAGACTCTTGCGAGTCCCTTGGACTGCAAGGCATTCAAACCAGTCATTCCTAGAAGAGATCAACCCCGACTGCTCTTTAGAAGGCCAGATCCTGAAGTTGAAACTCAAGTACTTTTGCCATCTAATGAGAAGGAAGGACTCACTGGAGAAGAGCTTAATGTTCGGAAAGAATGAGGGCAATAGAAGAAGGGGACGACAGAGAATGAGGTGGCTGGATGGAGTCACTGAAGCAGTAGGTGTGAGCTTAAATGGACTCCAGAAGATGGTAGAGGACAGGAAGACCTGGAGGAACGTTATCCATGGGGTTGCGATGGGTCGGACATGACTTTGCAACCAACAACAACAAAAATAGATGTTTTTTACAAAAAAAATCATATAACAACACTGTTTGAAGATCTTGCTTTTTGATGGCTGTAAATATGACTAATATGGTGTACTCTGATTTGTGTTTTGGATGAATCAGTTCAAGGATCAGGAGGTATTTTGGATATGTGATTCAGCAGTTAGAAAGGTTCCTGCAGACTCTGAAGAATCTCTGTTTTGCATGACAGCTAATCGTGCTCTTCATGAATTAATTCGTTTAGAGGACAACAAGTATAAACCTCAGCTTTTGAGTGCTATTGTAAGTTTTTGATTTGTAGGCAAGTTGGAGATCTCAGTGAGTAACAACATCAATTCAGTTTCATCAGCAATCTAGTAAGTGTTAACCAGGAGTACAAAATCAACATTATCTTATAAATAGAGTTATAATGTTACTTGTGTTACACTGTTGAAAATCTACATCAGTTTGACAATAAAAGTATAATCCATACACCATCCCTTACATTTACTTTTGAGAAGTAAAGGTCTCTCAAGCTTAAAAAAAACATGTGTGTAAATAGAAATGTTTAGCTTTACAACTCACATTTTGCTATTCCCCGAGTCTAATAGATAAAGCAGTTCATATCCTGCTCATATCACCCCTGCTACTTTTAAAACTGAACACCAGAGAACATTCTACAGTCTTCTACAAATACCCCAATGATGTCTTCCAGTTCACGGTCATAGATGCATTTTCATCATTCCTGCATGTTTAGAAGAACTTGCTAGGGTTTTGATCTATAGAATATACCCCAAAAATAAAATCTACTTTTATGTGTACTCAATAGTTCCATTTTCTTTAGGAAAACACAAAACAAGTATCAGATAAAGGCGATTATGCCTATTTGGAAACACCACCACCCCTATTGTATCCAAGTTACACAGGGAAGGAAAGAGGTGGGGTTTTTTTTTTTTTAGCAAATGGGTGAATGTTCAAAACTGGACTCTTCTCAATTTTAAGAGCAACTTCTCTTCTTTTCAGCTGTGTCACACTCTGTATTATCATTGTCATCAAAGGGGGTGTGTATAAAAACCTGAAAAACCAAACAGACCTGTCTGGAAAGTGTTCCATATATCGGAGAACTGCAGGTGGCCCTTCTCGCAGTTTACACCTCACTGAGCCGGAAAACCTCTTGGCTTTGAAGATTACTTTCGGATCTAACCTTTCCTTGAGAAGAAAACAAGTGCTCCCAGCTGCACGTAAGCTTCATTTACTCCTTCCTAAGGGCTCTTAAGGAAAGTCCCCTGCTCCCAATGCTGAATGGTGTATGTTGTGGAAGTAAATTGGCATGGTTTTGTATTAGTCCGTAGTATTGCCCTCTCTCTTGGGAAAAAACACAGCCTGCAAATGTGAGTGTGACATTCAATCTAATGTTCAGAGAATTGTAATTAATGTCCACTTTCTGGCAATTAGGTTCCACAGAACATAGTGAGGTTTTTCTACCAAAAAAAACCTTGGGCACCTTTAGACTATAAACATTCTCTTGACATTGGTTCCCAAAACTGTTTGTTACTGGATTTGGTTTTTGTTCTTTGTACTTCTCAAAAATCAGTAAAATAAAGAATGTCATCAATGCCAAAACTGTAAAGTAATCCTCTATTCCCATTATTGATTCTAGTAATTTTTTTTTTTTTAAAAATTGGTCATATGAAGAAAAGCTTCTGGGGCTATAGGTATGTTGTGTAATACTATTGATTTGTTTTCTTTTTACTGGATTGTTTTTAACCCAGTTTATGGAGATTTGAGATGTATACTGCTCAGAATTGTTTATGACTGAAGTGATATATAACCCTAGTAAAAATTTTAAAAACTGAAATTAGAAATACTTATATCCATATGGGCACTTTTTAGAACTAATATAACAGTTATCAGATTAGTGTGCATAGGACATTGCTGTATAATATATGTGATACTTTTGGGGCCTCTAGTGGCTGTTGCTATTAAACAAATCTTACTTAAAAATCTTTAAATCTTTCTTACAAAAAATGTTGCCACCTACTAAATTGGAAGACATTTTATTAGCCAAGTTAATAGAAATAATCATTTGATAAATATAAATATATATCTTTTCTGATAAATGTAATGGGCTATATTTAAAAGATGTGGTTGAGTTATTAAAATCAGCAAGACATGGCAGTACAGTTAACATCTGTTAATTCCACATAGTCATTTTTCCCCAGTATATAATAATCTATTAATTATTATACCCCTCTTTCAAAATTCTAATTTCTTTTATAACTCTTTCCAAATTAGTTTTTATAATTCTGCTAAAGGAACTCTCACAAAAGAAAAAAAAGTCATCAGATAGATATAGACATAGGTATAGCTACAGAGAATATGACTTCTTTTCATATACATTAACTCTGTATATATGTAAGTAATAGGTTTCACTTCTGATCTGATTCACTTTCCTCTTTCAGAGTGGTTTTCCAAGCAATGGGTTTAAATAAATACTAAGTGTAAGGCAAAAACAAATTGTAGGAAAATATGCTTCTTTAGTTCACAGTCAGTGAACCAATTTTATCCCTTTTACACTAAATACATAGTTGTCATCATTAACTTTTTTCAACAACTATCTTTTTAGAAAGTATTGGGGGTCAAGAGGCAAAATCTGTATTCCTTTGCTTAAGTTAGCCTTGCAAATATTTCCAGTTTTGATTGGTTGTGGATCATGATAAGAATCATTAATTTGTTGTGCATCTTTCTCACATTAATTTTAATTTCCCCTCTTCTTCTGGCACCAAAAACAGTTCAGAAATAATTTAGTGGGAGTAACTATATATCATAAATATATATACTTCTCTTTTATTCAAATGTCTTGTTACCTATTATCTTTCTTAGTCATATTTTAGGTATTATTTACAAAATATTAGGGTTTTGATAATGTACACAAAAGGGTGAGGCATAAAGATATTTCATTATAATAACACAGATTGTTATTGTCAATTAGTATTCTTTTTAAAAATTACAGTTTTAGTCACAAAAACTTTGTGATGCTGTTCCATTTTTGTGTTTTAAAAAGAAAACAATAATAGTTTGTACTAAGTTTATTCTTATTTGCAAGAAAACTGACTGAAATCAATAGATTTTTACATTAGTCAAACCTAGTCCATGATTATCTGATTTTGACGTAGAGAAAGGTTGTGATCCAACAAAACAAATGTGGGTATCAGCAAGTTTTCTGCTCTTATTAAAACTAATTTCTTTTTCGGTTTATCCAAAAATTATCTATAAATGAAAATTATATCGCTAATGTGTTTTTAAATTTTCTTCTCCCCACCTTCTTTATTAACATGTAATAGAAACATAATTAGAGATTCAGGTTTAACTTCATCTTAGCCACATACATAACACACAGGTGTGTATCATTTAATTTATTTGTTTAATTTATTAGAAGCAATTTCTGCCCTATGTTTTATGTGTTGATTTCTACTCATGCAATAGAGTAGATGGTATTCATCTATGGAGCTTCTCCTTCTCTGGAGATTTTCTAGAAGAAAATGGACAGATATCATTCATGGATAGCTCATTTTCCTGCCCATTAAAGAGGTTGAGACTAGATGCTCTTTGGGTCCCTTCCAAATCTATAATTTTATGATTCTATTGTTCTCTAATGTGGCCAGTTAATTCCACAAATTGGTTCTGGGATGTTCCCCAGCTATTCAGTACAAATTGGATAAAAGCTTATGGTCAACCACAGGAAAGAAAGGACTAATTATTGGGAGATGCTTTAGATACATTATTATGGACTATCCATATATTCAACTAAACCTAAAAATTCAGTATATCAGAATATCATTGACTTTTTGATCACTCAGACCACTTCAGTTCTACAGATCACTTAATTAAACACTTACTTAAACACTTACTGAGAAGCAGTTTGGTTTAGTGGTTAAGGTACCAGGCTAGAAAGTGGGAAACTATGAGTTCTAGTCCTGCCTTAGTCATCAAAGCCAGCTGGGTTTGATTCCCTCTCTCTTGGGATTGTTATTGTGGGGAAAATAGGGGGAAGAAGGTGAGCTGAATATATTCACTGCCTTCAGTTATTTGTAGAAATAATAAAGGTGGGATTTAAATAAATAAATAATTTAACCACAGTGTTACTAACAGTAACTAAATGAGGATGAGGATGATGAGGATAATGATAAAATACACATTGTCCCACACAATTTGGTAGTGAAAATCCCATTCTGATGACTGCAAACCTTTAAAACATATGGTAAGTATCAGCATTAGCAACAACAGACAGTTTGTGAAAAAGGAAAGAAAATGGTGTCACCTTTGTCCTATTCAGCCAGGAGTTATTAGCTAGATTTTTATGGATTCATTTTGGTTCACCCTGTTTTCTGCACAAGGTGTTTTGTTTTTTTTAAAGCCATCTTAATTTCTGGAACACAGAGATTTGTTAATCCTTTAATTACAACAAAATGCCAACTCTACAGAGAATAGCATTATAATTTACATCATTGGTGAGCATTTTTTGCTAAGCAGGACTTGACAAAGTCGCCTTGTAAAGATACTCAGATTCTTTCAGATAGTTGGAAGGTAACAATTATGATTATTAAATTGAGATTTTTAATTAAATATTAATCTCCACAAAGCAAATTTAGCATTTCAGAAACCATTTGGAGAAATATCAGAGGAGAGAAAGTAGCCATCTTGAGGAAGAATACCTCCAGGAGAAAACAGTTTCCTCTTTGGTTGCCATCAATCAAATTTTGGATTGTTTGTATAGTGCCATCAACACTCCACTGCAGGTTGATCCAAGCAACAAAAAGAGCTGACAAATGTCTAGTCCAATCTTACTAAGAATGGGTCAATGCATGACTTCTTTGCTCAACGCTACTCACAAAATATTTTTTAAATGTAAAAAATATATTTGGGAGTTTCTGTTTCTGTCACTATTGTTATTATGATATTCATTATGTGTGATATTAAAGCAAATAATTAAAGGTGAACAAGTGATATGAATAATCATATGATATTTTAGGATGATGCTGGACTCCGTTAGCCATAATACCTTCCTGCCAAACACAGTAACGTGTGAATCCTTGACATCGTGGTCAGACGTATTTGGAATAGTGGATGAACAGTACTCACTTTTTGATCATCAAACAGGTGAGTAGACATCTCATAGTTTTACTTAACGATTAATGAAAATTGTAATAAAATAAAAGCCTTCACCTGGTGATATTCTCAGAAAGGTATTTCCAGATGCTTTACAGAATGAGTTTCTTGCTTCCTAACCATTTTTTGTTTATCTGTCACTTTTACAATTCCATTGCCATTTATGAATATAAGACGATCTCAGATTGTACTAAAATGTTTTTAGGCCAATTCATGAATAAAGAACTCTTTTGGATATGCTTTTCAATTTCTATGACTTAAATATTTCTTCTAAAGATGGGGAAGAAATTTATTTAGTTGCTTAACTTCCTGCTATTTGGAAGAAAAAGATATCTGTGTAAAAAAAATTAATCTGATTACCTATAAGTCATTAAAATATCCATAGTAAAAACCCGAGGCTTTATAGCATGTCATTTTGCATCATAGTAATAAGTAAATGCAAGACAGTATTTCTAAAATTTAAATATAGCGAATATTGTTCTCTGGAGGATGATCCACAACATAGTTTTATTGATTGCTGTTTAAAAAGGAAAGACCCAGACTAATTTCTAATACAAGAACCATCACTGTTTTAGCAGAAGCATCCAATATTCCTCAAAATTAATAAATAGTAGAAATACGATCATCCAGCTGATAATATTTGTGCAGCAGATTCTGTTGAAAATCTTAGTTTGGATGTGCACATATTCCATTAGATTCAAGTGTTAAATCACTATGCAAATGATAAAAAGAATGCAAAAGATTCATTCTTATTATTTCTTTGTAACTCAAAAATGATCAGCCTTTACAACTCACAGAACTTCCACTGAATTTCAGTAGCAAACTATAAATACATTATTTTGGCAGAAAACAAGTCTGTGAAGCATTTATTTATGCTTTGCATGCCTAACAATATACTATCCCTTGAACAAAACAAAACAAAATAAACTATCCAAAAATCCTAGCTATTCCAACTTCAAAGTCTCATTCAACCCCCCAAAAATAGTCCATCCACATTGTACAACTTCATCCCATATGGAGAAGAAATTTTCATAACATACACCAAGAGAAGTGTAAAGGAATGCAGGGGAAAAAAATCCATTGTGCAAATAAAATCTGTTTGTATAAGGTAATTAACCCATTACTATATTTTTGTATAGATTCTTGTGAGAAGATGAGCTTAAAAATCCACCAGCAAAAAAAATAAAAATGAAAAAGCTTATGAGTTTTCTCCCAAATGACTTCCAAAATTAATTTAGAAGGTAAAGAACATGAAAAGTCTCTCTCTCACACACACACACTCACACACACACACACACACACACACACAAACACACATACAAAGACACACACATACAAACTTTCTTGTCTCTATAGGTATATATAACTGGGTTAATAAATGTTGTTACATAAGGGCATAAACATTGCACTTGTAGATTCAAATACAGATTATTTTGTTTGTTATTTTATCTCCAGCCCTGATACTGGATAAATAGCTTATGACATAAGAAGTAGGAATGTACTTAGTCTTTCAACAGAAGTTTTGATCAAAACATGGAAGTCAGAGAAAGAAGGAAAGCAGAAGAGCAATGTTGTTATCTGGACAGAGCTTTGGAAGAAGCTCATGTGCAGAATGTGATGGAAAACAGTCTCTTGCCTTAATTGTACATCCAATGATTAAGGCAATTGTTTTGATTGCTCCCAACATTTCATGCAAATACTTTTCATGTTTACCTTTTTTTGTTTCTGTGAGCTGCCTTATGAGTTAGCTGAACAACTCAGTAAATAATTTTTAAAGCAATGAAATATCCATTACTATAAGAGATTAAAAATTGTGCTAACAAAATAATCTGAAAATATACAAAATTTCTTTGTGCCAGTGCTAACTCCTTTCTATCTTGTTGCACTTCCTCCATTCTGTTTTTCATAACTTTTTGTACAATCTTCGTCTTCCATTTCATACCAACCCAAAGAGAGATTCCTAGTTTAGGATCAGGCATCCTTCTATCTCATAAATGTGGCCTATTGTCACTAACATTATACAATAATGCAACAGACGGCATTGTTAGCTTGAACTGACATTAAATAACATTTGGTAGTGTGGCTTTGGATGTAGGCATCCATTCTTAACTACAATGATGGCAAAATGATTAAAACTGCAATGTGAAGTCTCCATGCAAGCTCTATCCTTTCATTCTCATATTGCAATGTTAATGCAAATATTAAGGAGTATGCTTTGCATCATGACATTGTATTGTTGTGCATGTTTGTTTTCAGTTGCCCACTTCCTTCTGGACATTTATGGCTTCAGAAGTTGATCTGAAGTTCTTCATTAAAGTAAACAACTAAGTTGTTCAAACTTTAACTACTGGATTTTTTTCTCATCATATTGTGACAGCTTGTGATTCATCCTGGACATCAATGCATCCAGAATACTGGACAAGACACAATGTCTGTGAGTGGCTACAGTTTTGCTGTGATCAATACAAATTGGATGCTAACTGCATTTCCTTTTCCCACTTCAACATTAATGGTCACCAGCTCTGTTGTATGACCCAAGAAGAATTTTTAAATGCTGCTGGAATTTGTGGTGAATACCTCTACTTCATTCTCCAAAACATCAAGATTCGTGGTCAGTGTGCCAAAGATTTAATCAGAATATTACTGTTTCTTTCTGGGTGTAACGCTCAGCCTTATGCAAAGTATTGAAATGGCAGCCAGTGAGACTGCCATGTGATGCTAAAGCACAATCTAGCAGACATATCCAAAGAAAGAAAGACCAGATAAGATTGAAACAATTTAGAAACTCATTAAATCAAATTAATCCTTGCAAAATTAGACCAAGAGATAAGATCAGGCAAAGAGAAATGAAAACCACAAAAGGCACCCAAAAGCAAAATGAGATTAAAATGAGGAAAAAATATAGAAAAGAGTAAATTCTGACTCATGGGTCTAATCAGGAATGTTCATGGGAGAAGGGGAGTGTTTAAAAAGTTAAAATTGATTATTTTGACCCCATCTAGGGACAGCCCTTGGACTAATCCAGACTGAGAAGGTAATTCATTCAGCCCACATGACTTTGAATCATGTCCCTCTTCAGAGCCTTAGATCTCATCTCTAGCAAGAGCTGTGATTTTAATAAATAAGATGGAGCATCTGTAGGTGTGTCTCAATGATGGCTCTTTTGCACCATTTTTAAGAAGAAATTGAAAAGCTAAATCACAGCACAGAACAATCCGTTCACCTCAGAAATTTGTTTTTTTTAAAAAAAAATTGCAATTGTACAGAAATTCTAAGTAAGGCGTTTTTATTATATACAATAACACTGTAATCTATATTTGTTTTTACAGGTATCTCCTTCTTTCAGGACAATGAAGATACAAAGTCATCTGAAAAAGACTGTAAGGGAAACTTCAAAAGTTTGTAATAAAATTGTTATAATAAATGAAATATTTCAGCTGGGGTTAGAGGTTCTCTCAGCAGTCGCATTAGTAGTTTACTCTCTTTTGTTCTGGCTGCAGAAGAACAGTGGGAGCAACCTACTCCCAATGATGCAAAGGCCATGACTGTATAAGTTACAGTTTTATGTGGAAATGTCATGGCGCACATATCAAAATTTGCCTCACAGACACCCACGGTCACAATTAATGCCATGTTTCCTTGTTTCCTTTCAGAGGAAATAATTATTGGATTATGATCCATCTTCTGCATTCTTAGAGCAAAATGCCTGTTCAAAATCATTGCAGAATGTAGAGCCCCAAAGCTCTTTATATAAAAAAATAATAATAAATCATCTCTAAATAAGATCTAGCCTCCCATCAATCATCTAACCTTTGAGCTTTTGTTCAGAGTATGGGGTTTTTTGTTTTAGACCAGCTGATAGCAGAGCAGCATCAAGTATGATTAGATGCTAGGTTCCTCCTTAATCATTTTCAGTTTGGCTTGTAACTGATTTTGTAGGAGACTTCTACAAGGAGACTAAAATGGGAAACATTTCCTCGATCACCGGATTGAATTAATGCACTTCTGACTGTGCCATTCCCCCTACCAAACTGAAAAATTAGAAAGAATATTGATATGTATCCTCAGATAAATATATTTTTCCTTGATAGGGTGAAAAGTTTGTGCATAGTGTCAGGTAGGCGTAGAATTCTCGCCAAAGCTTTTTAATGTCTACATTAAATATCTACAACTGGAGCTTTGGAGATGAGTGCTGTAACAGTGCCAAAGAATTTAGATCTATATCTCATAAATTAAAGATCTAAGCCTGACAGGTTAGAATTTAGGCAATGTTTGGAAGCTGTGATCAAATAGACTAAGATAAACAGACAGTTGAAATCAGAAAAAAAACATTATTGAGTTTTCTAATGATTAATAGACAGCATGCTGTCTATCAGCCCAAGTTCACAGTATTGTTCTTACATTAGATGCTGCCTTGCTTTTCAATGATCAGACAGTGTAGTAAAAATAACATTTTTCTGACAATTAAATCTTCTATTCAAGGATTTATCCTCCTTGGACTTTATGATTCTAATCATGTTTTCCACATTAGACTACTGTAATACAAGTAGTCCTCAACCTACAACAGTTCATTCAGTGACTGTTCAAAGTTACAACAGCAATGAAAAACTTGACTTATGACTGTTTTTCACACTTATGACCATTGCAGCATCCCCATGGTCACATGACAAAATTCAAACATTGGCCACTGACTCATATTTATGACGGTTGCAGTGTCCTGCGGTCATGTGATCATCTTTTGTAACCTTCCGACAAGCAAAGTCAATGGAGAAGCCAGATTCACTTAACAACCATGTTACTAACTTAACAATGCAGTGATTCACTTAACAACTGTGGCAAGTCGTAAAATGGGTCAAAACTCACTTAACAAATGTTTCACTTAGCAACATAAATTTTGGGCTTAATTGTGGTCCTTAGTTGAGGACTAACTTTATGTGTTTTATGGCTGAAACTTTTACATGGTTTACATTAAAGCCTGTTGGCCAAATATAGGTACTATTTTGAATACATCTTTGCATTTATAAATTGCAAATGAAATGTTAATAACAACAGATTATCGTTGATCAAGTGGGAATTTAACTTTTTAGTCCCCACTATGGTCCTAATGAAAATTATTCCTCCAGACATGAAAGTTGCATTGGAAGAAAAAATTCCAGTGTAAATTTTAAGTGTTGCTTCTTCTTGCTTCTGTTAGCTGCCATCTGAATAATTGTTCCCTTCCCCTTTCTAATACCTGCTGTTTCATTTTTTTTATATGTGCAACCAGTTCCCATTTACCTTTTTTCTACATTCAGCCTCCATCAATGCCCTAATTCAGCTGCCATCAATTGTGTAAGACAGGGGTCTCCAATCTTGGCAACTTTAAGCCTTGTGGACTTCAACTCCTAGCATGGCTGGCTGGGGAATTCTGGGTGTTGAAGTCCACAAGTCTTAAAGTTGCCAAGATTGGAGACCCCTGGTGTAAGACATTTGATATCAAAAGCCAGAAGTTTATAACCCCACCTCGGAAGCTATGGAAGTGTTTCCTGGTGAAATTGAAGCAGATATATCAGTGTTAAGAGATGGTGGGCTAAATGGGAAATATATTCCTTGGGGAGATTCTCCACAGAATGACTGTTTTTTGAGGAGTGATTGATAACAAGTTTTTTATTGCTTTTTGAAGGTTTATTTATTTTGTTGCTCTTTTTGTGATTCATTTTCAGCAGGAAATGATATTCAGTAAGTAAATGGGACAGTTCTTTCATGCGATTTGCATGGATTTGGTAACATGCAAGTCTGACTCAACCCTAAACTCAGCGTAATTATAAGTCCATTTTGATAGTTTCAGGTTGTGTAAGTCTCCCAGAGGTCAGATGTGTATCTTTACCAACCGGTTAGCTATGTGCATGCTACAAGACCAAGAAATGCAAGGAAATCAAGGCTGTTTAACTTAGCCTGGGCACTGAGCAACAATAAAATCACTGATTAACCAGCCAATTTTGCCTTCGTCCAGCGAGCTCCTTTGCCTCTATTTGTTATGCTCCTTGATTATAGTTTTTCTCTCAGACAATTATGCTCCATGACTATCATTCTAGAGCAATGTTATAATATGAAGTACTATTTACCTAGAGATGGTATCAGGGCACACTGTGTTTTCTAGTAACCATCTTTTAGATCATTCACACTTGACTAATGATGATCTTTCCAGGACTTTCAGTGGTTATTGATGCCATTTCAGCTAATTATCCAATTTAGGGTTAATCATTCTCTTTTATGATCAAGTTGGGTTTTTAATTCTAAGAAAAGCCTCAGACCCACACTGGTTTAGTGTTCCATAGAGTTTTATTCAGAGAACATGAAGACTTGTTTAAATATCACTGAAATTCATTCAAAATTATTTACATTTATTTTTTTAAAAAAAATATCTTCCAGATAATGATAAGGCATGTTTGAGAACAGGTGGCCTCAAGAGTCAAGAGTTTCAAGGTCACAATAGAACAAGTAGGTATATTTCTGACATCTACAATCTTATATATAAGTATCAGAGAATTATTAATACACACACATATATTCATATTTACAAAAATTAAACCAAATATGCAGCTATATGCTTTTACTTTTAAAAATAGTTTCTTTATTTACATTATATACCTGAATTTATATACATTATAGATACATGAATTTATAGACAGTTTATAGGCTAACCAGTATATAAATATCTCTTTATATATCTTACGACTATGCAGACTCTGCCAAATACATATAACTGTAAATAAGAATTCTATTAGTCAGTATAAGCGTCACTTTCGGGAAGAAAGGCAGAAATAAAAACTCTGAACATGCTACCTTTGAACATGTCATTGGCTGGCTTGTTACTGGAGAAGAAATATGAAAAGCAGGCATTATGAACATTGACAGCCTAAATTATAAATGAAGAATCATTCTTTTCTAATAATTTTTATATGTAATAAATGTGTAAAAGATGTGAAACTTTAGCTATGACTACAGCTGAATATGGAAAAAAGCTAGATACACTGGATAAACTATTACCAAGAAATCCTGCTTTAAAAATGTTAGTCTGTTGTGATATACCTAAGGTAGTTTCTGAACCTGGGCACCCTTCAGAAATACAAGGTTCAGTTCCCCCTTTTTTTCTGCAATAGCTTGGCCATTCTGAGAATTGAAGTCAATATGGGGGGGGTGGGGTTTCAACCACAGTTAGAGGCCATGGATCAATAGACATCACATGTAATAATAGGCTCTGAGATTTAGGTGTTGTTTCTTGATCTCTCAAGTCATTGCTAAAATAAACCATCCCAAATCCTTAGCAACAGAACTCTGAGAAATGAAAAAACCATAGATTATCATTTCAGACTGCATGTAATTATTTCTTAGCAGCATTTATGCTTATGACTCTCATGACATACAGTATGTCATATGTCGGCCAACTTAGTTGTTAATAAAAATACTCCCTTCTGATTTCTTTAACACGGATACAACATCCTAGGTCCTTGCTTTATTTGGATCCTGGATCATTTGGTATTCCAAATGTGCTCATGTCCAAGCCAATGAATCTACAGCTGTCCTTCAGACTTCCCATGTAAACATGTGGAAGCTCAAAGAAATGAGAGCAGGGCTGTATCCACAGCTCCATTCTTCTCCTATTCTAAGTTCTTCACAAATGCTTGAACAGGGCTCAATTTTTGGCCTAATCTGCTCCACCAGATTAAAAAGAAAAATCAGGAAGTCAGGAAGATCGTCAATAATATATGCTGCCGTGAGCTTTGTGGATTATGCTGCTTGTCAAATGTGCTATTTTTTAAAATTAATTTTGCAATTTAGCCTCAAACTTGTCTAAGGTCGGTATATTCCTCACCTCATTATAACCTCAGGTGATGACTCTGCATTTCTGATCAAACCTTTAAGCAAGTCTGGAAAGTAAAAAGAGGTCAGACAGTATCTGCTCCTTAGATTACCACATCATCCTTAACTTCCTGCTACCCCAGCCTATGTGATCTCAGCAAAGATTATTCAAATACACTCATCGTTCATCTACTATCTTAAATTGTTAATTTTCTAATAGCATGTGGGATGACATAGAGAATTCTTATTGAAGAGATACCCAAGTTGTCTGAACCCTAGGGGCTATGAAATATATGGGAATATAATTAGTCAAATATATAGTCAAAATCTGAGGCAGATAGGTGGTTTAGAAATATGAAATATAAATAAATAAAAAATAAATAAAATAGAGCTTTTGAGAAACAAGAAGTGAAATCCAATGAGTGAGGAAGGAAAGAAGGAAGGAAGGAAGGAAGGAAGGAAGGAAGGAAGGAAGGAAGGAAGGAAGGAAGGAAGGAAGGAAGGAAGGAAGGAAGGAAGGAAGGAAGGAAGGAAGGAAGCAGGCAAGCAAGCAAGCTTGGGATGGAAAAGAGCCTCAGGAGACAAGAAGATCTTCACAAAATATCATACTGAAAAGATGATCATGCTCAATTTTGGAAAGGGATGGAATTAAATTTTCTGAAACAAGAATTATGGGATGGGGTGCTCATCTGCAGAAACTGCATTATATCAATCTATCACAAAAGATGTCTTCCAGAACAAAAGGCCTTATTTTCAAGAGAAAGTCTATTATTATGTCTAAGCCCTCTTTCTTTTTAGATTCATAGAGGTTGGTCCTTTCAGTTTTGCCAATCAGGAGGTTGCACACTAATTCTTCTGATTATTTCCATTTGGAATGGCAGGAAAATAACTAAAATAATGAAATCCATCCAGTGGGATCTGACAGGATTTAGAAAATGGCACATGATTGATTACCCTGGCTCTACTTATCACTTGACAAAGTGATGAAAACTGCATTGCACATGGATGCTTGGTAGTTTTCTATATTATAAAGCAAAGGAATTTGGTCTCAGTGTTACCTGATTGGTTCTTTTTCCTAACTATGCATAGCCATTGGGGGAAGCCTATGCTGGACTGCTTTACTGGCATTATTTTCATCTTAGGTATATCATTGTTTTACAATCCAAGTAGCATTTTCTAACCTCTGATAATTTGTCACAGAAAAGCTTTTCTTACCTCTATTCATTTTCATTCCTGAAGGTCTGCAGAGTTCTCACTTGTGGGAATTTGTACGAGATCTTCTTCTGTCCCCTGAAGAGAATTCCGGTATCCTTGAATGGGAAGACAGAGACCAAGGCATCTTTCGCGTTATTAAATCTGATGCTCTGGCAAAGATGTGGGGACAAAGGAAAAAAAATGACAGAATGACTTACGAAAAGCTAAGCAGAGCACTCCGGTAAGTTAATACTTTAAGAAGATATATATAATGCTGGGTAGGAGCTGGGCATTTTGCATATGTTATAACAGTTTTATGCAATCTTCTTTGGTTTTTGTCATTTCCAGACCCAATTCAAGTGCCTTATTTGTTTGTGTGTTTGTTTATATTTCATAGTTCCTAACTGCCCATCTCCCTCAGATGCCTATATTAGCCTATAAGGAGCTTTCACCATATCTAAAGACCTGCTCTTCCCACTGTTTTTACTGTACCCTAAAAATCATCTTCAGAGGCTCTGTTCTTAGTGTCTTCCTAAGCTGAGTGTTTTTTAAAGTTTTATTAAGATTTATTATAGCATAAAATATAATGAACATAAAGATTAAAAGGAGGGGAAGTATGTGAGGAAAAAGAAGGAAAAAAAAGTGTTGACTTCCAACTCTTTCCAACACAGCAAAATACTAATTCAATTACAACCTCAACTTTTTACTTTACCAATAATTATTATAAGCCAGTTCTATAACTATACAATTATTAAATTGTCAAACTAAATTCTGGTTTAGGTTTTTTTTCTACTTCAAGGATAAAAACCAATAGATACAAAGCAATGTTTCAATAGAAACAAGACCAAATAAAACCTCTTTGTTTAAAACAGTTTACATTGCCATTTTAACCAAATCCATTTTTTTTCTCCAGTTGTGGGAAGTGATACATAAAGGTAGTCTTCGACTTACGACCACAATTGAGCCCAAAATTTCTGTTGCTAAGCAAGATACTTGTTAAGTGAGTTTTGCCCCATTGTACAACCTTTCTTACCACAGTTGTTAAGTGAATCTGACTTCTCAATTACACTACAACTGTCATAAATATAAGTCAGTTGCTAAACATCTGAATTTTGATCACGTGATCATGGGGATGCTGCAATGATAGTAAGTGTGAAAAACAGTCATAAGTTTTTTCAATGCCATTGTAACTTTGAATGGTCACTACATGACCTGTTGTAAGTCGAGCACTACCTGTTATTTCTATTCACACGTATAATATTTCTAAACTATCATCATTTATTTTAACAAAAGTAACTATACTCTCTCAATTCTTTAACCTTAACAGTTCTTTTATATTCATTTTAAAACTCTAATCATTTTTTTAAAACATTCAACTTTATAAATAAAATCAGTTAATTTAATCAATTAAAATCTTTAAGTCACTCCCTCCAGCTTGTCTCATAAAATAAAATATTTTTCTTTTTCAGAATGTCAATTAAATAGAATAGAATAACAGAGTCAGAAGGGATCTTGGAGGTCATCTAGTCCAACCCTCTGCTCAGGCAGGAAACCATTTCAGACAAATGGTTGTCCAATCTCATCTTTAAAAACTTACAGTGTTCCACTGATTAATTGTTCTAATTATCAGGAAATATATAAACTTCTCTTTTTCTATTCTCCAATATGATTTTTAAAATATGTATATCAACATTGTCAATTCCCATTTAAATTTCGAAGTGAAAACTTATTTTCCTGAGGATTGTAGATTTACTTGCACTTTACTTTCCTCTTCTTCTTTCAATTGCACTGGAGGACTTATAATTAAACCATTTTCATAGGAGCACGGTTAGTGACAGATTTATATTCCAAAATCGCAGCTATGTATTGTCAAATATGCACACAGTAGCCTCAGTAGCTTAATAACTTTCTGCACATGGTTGCAACTCTGGATTACTCCTCTTTCTTCTAATTACTTGAGTAATTTGTTCATCTTGGTCCTCATGTGACATCTTTGGCATTTACAGGTAGTCCTTGAGTTATAGCCACAACTGAGCCCAAAATTTTGGTTGTTAAGTGAGACATTTGTTAAGTGAGTTTTGCCCCATTTTACAACCTGTCTGGCTACAGTTGTTAAGTGAATCACTGCAATTGATAAGTTAGTAACCTGGTTGTTAAGTGAATCTGGCTTCCCCATTGACTTTACTTATCAGAAGATTGCAACAGGTAATCTCATGACTGTGGGACATAGCAATGGTCATAAATGTGAATCAGTTGCCAAGCATCTGAATTTTGATCACATGGTCATGGGGATGCTGCAAACATCGTAACTGTGAAAAATGGTCATAAGTCACATTTTTCAGTGCCATTATAACTTTGAATGGTCACTAAATGAACTGTTGTAAGCCGAGGATTACCTATAGTTGAATTGTTTTGTTTAAATACTATTCCAAAATAAATTTTGCAATCCCTGTCTGATTTAGATACCTTCTATGTTGCTTCATCGTTTTCGGTATTTTAGCTCCCTCTTGTGGTCAAAGAATAAATCTTTTTTTTAAAAAAAGCTTTTTATAGATCAGCTGGTATCTCCTGGCCAATCAGAATCCTTGGTAGGTAACTAATGCTAGTGATGATGTTACCTAGTTTGGGTAATATAATGTCTGCAAGAAAACAACCAAGTGAGAGAGCATCAAGGACGCCTCATTTCAATCTGAGCTCCAAATATTCTCATTTATCGCAGTCCAAATCCATTAAAATCAAAAGATTTCAGCCTCCTACAACAAACAACCCAAAAGTGAAAATTATAACCCACAACCTCAAATAAAGGCGGAAAATTCATGAAAATGCTCAAATAAAAGAGCAACTTTTTAAATCCTTACGTTTCTCCATCAAAATAAGAAATAAAAAAGGATTCCACAATTCCTTATTTCAGGCCACCTCTGGCCACCCTCCTCCTCATTATTCAACAACGGCACAGATCTTCAAAAAGGAGTAACAGGCTGTGAGAAGAGAGAAAACAGCCTTTTTTAGTTTAGTAAAGATAATAATCAAATAAATTTAAGAAGTGAAAGGCACAGCTTATTGTCCATTTAAAAAATAAATTTCAAAATGGCTGCTTTTTCAACAAGGAAGTAATTGCAGTCCCACCTCTTGTAGGGTGATTCTAAGACTCCTACTAACCCAGGAGACTCATATATACTTAGGGGATTCAGTTCCCTTATTTGTAAATTGAAAACACTTTTCCAGATTGATCATCTTCACTGAAAGTTTCCAAGCCAAGTGGTTATTGAGGGACAGGCTTTCTACACTAGCTATCCAACTCTGAAAAGCTCTGCTCAACATGGAAGAGTGGGCATCAATTTTATTGGGGGCCTTTTGGTTTAATTTTATTTTGGTTTTGGGTGTAAAACAAATACAACAATTTAATACTCCTACATTTCATTTTCAGGTACTGTGAGCTGATTTGGGAAAACTAGATTTGAGAGGTAGCATGCACATTTTAAAAGTAAAAATTTCTGTCCAATTTGATATAGGTTAACTCATTCCAAAGATGATCAAACTTGAGCAGGATTAGGGGTGGGGTAATGCTGCAGCTTGACATGTTCTTGAGGGAGAAAATGAGTAAAAAAATTACACATTCATCACTAGAGTGCTTGCCAGCCTAACCCATACATATAACGTTTAATACCCTTACATTTCCATTTTGCTTGACAATAACCTGACAACTTTACTCTGAAAAGTAAAAAGAAAATGTTAGAAAAATAAAATATGGCCAAGGGGTACTGGATTCCCAGATATCTGAGAAAGTTTAAGTTCTGAGACAATTAACGATGACTTTTGCCTACGTGAGCGGAAGCCCCTGCTTTGTCAAAACCAAATGTTTCATGCTGTCATTCAAATGTAGTGTTCAGGTGCTTCTAATTCCCATTTCACTGTTATTGTTGCAGGTATTATTATAAAACTGGAATTTTGGAACGAGTTGACAGGAGGTTAGTGTATAAGTTTGGAAAAAATGCACATGGATGGCAAGAAAGCAACTCATGAGATACCCATATCTTTGAACTCATTATCCAGTAAACAATGTGAAGGTCAACTCCAATAGATGGAGGTTCTCTGCCGGCTTTTCTAGATCAAGATGGCCATATATTCTGAATAACTGGATAAAATAACCATTAATAGACAGTTTGGATCAGGAAATGTACTGTCTTTGCACTTTTTATCTTCCGTATAACCTGCATGGCATAAACACCCATACATGGTTTCAATCTTTTCAGTAAACTCATGCGGATTTGCTCTGAAAGCCAATAAGAGTTTGTCATTAGTACTTAAAACTAAATCTCAGCATTATAATATTTCCATTTTGAGCTTGATGGAATTTTGAATAAGATTTTCTTGATATCATCTTTATATTCACCCATGGGTGGGCAACCTATTGCCATGTGGTCTGTATGAGTTTTTGTAATATTTTTTATAGGCCAGAGAACCTTAGAAGTAGTGCCTCTAATACTCAGCAGCAGAGTCCAAGAAACAGAGGTGCAATTTCCTATTGTTTGAATGGAAAATAGTGTGTGTGTTTTTTTTAAAAAAAGATGTGTTTAAATAATATTAAAAAGCACTCAAATATAAAAGAAAAGATCTGCTTCCCAGCTGGTGAAAGATAGTCCATGTCTACCATCGCATTCCAATAGGTAACGAAGTATACGGTAATCATTTTTCTCTATCGTATCAACCTGAATGTGGATATGTGGTCTTCTAGATGTAGTTAAATTGGAACTCCCAAAAGTCTCAGTCAATATATCCAATGAAAATGGGACCTGGATCTGATTCACCAGCACTGGAAGGCCTACAAGTTCTCCACTGCCTGTCCTCTTGCATTAAAAAACAGTTTCATCTTGCCTGCAGCAACATTCTTTGGGACGGTTATGCTGGTAGTCACAACAATATCTGTTACAGCATAAATAAATAAAAAAATATTTTGTGGTGTATGAAGGTTACCCTTGAGTCCAAAGAGACCTGGGAAAGACTGGTTCTGATTCCAGCTGGACAAGAATTTTCTGCTACTATTCACCTTTTACACATGCGAAAGGAATGGAAACAAATATTCCTGCTTCAGAATTTGTGAAGAAGTGTTTTACTTTTTTCTTCAGGAAGAAAGGAACTGTGTTCTGTGTTCATAATGCCACTTTTGCAATCTGTAAAACATGAAAAGACTTTAGCTATGATTTACACTCCCTCCCTCAATACAAGTTTCTACATCAAGAACGTGGTTGAATAAATGTTTTAATTGGCTTCTTAGGACTGTTAATTCTCTGCCTGGGAATAAGGTTAGTTTATTAACTGACTTACTAGATTTCTACAAAATTGTAACAGTGTAACTTTAACCATCTTTATTATTATTTTAAATTAATGGTACTGCCTTCACGCTATATATTCTTTAGCGCACACCTTTTTTATTTGTTCATATAATATTAGCTGGCTGGGTCTATCTGTCTGTCGATGGATAGTTAGAGATAGATAGATTTTCTTTCTTTCATCTATCATCTATCTATCTGATAAAAGATAATGATGAAAGAAAGAAAAGAAAAAAGAAAGGTATCGATGCTTGATGGAGTGAAATATATCAAGCCTGCCACAGATAGAACATAAATATTTGAAATAAATAAAACTACATATAATGTGAGAGTTACCTGCCTGTGTGTACATAGACCATAATTTAAATAATTTACATTTCACATACCTTTCTGAAAACGAAATCTTGTGCGTTATCAGAGAAGTCATAAACTATTATTTTGTTGGAAATCACTAAACTTTATCCTGTAGTCTTTTAAAATAACAAAGTGGCTCTATGACCTCTTAGCAAGTCCTAATGAATTTAGTGGGACATACTTCTAAGTAGATTTACTTAACTTAAAAGTTGGATATTGACATTAGAGGCGTTGAAGAAATGGCGTAATTATTTTTAAAGCAATGTATATGTATTGTGCATTAATATATTCTACCTCAGATGAAGTTTGATAGGAATAATTGGGCATATTATGGTCATCTTTAAATTAGGAGGTCCTCTGCAAACTTCACAGATCTCTAGTGTCCTCTTTTATAACTCAGTTTTATTATTTTATATCATAGCAATTGTGAATCCTAACAAAAACAGAAGGCTTTAGAATATGCAACTTTTTTGAACATTAAAAATAAAAGCAATGCTGTTGTTTAAATTCAGTTTTCTTATGCTTAGAACAGAATCTTGCCAGCTAGACATGGGGAATCAAATCCAATGCCTGTTAGAATTACAGTTCCCTTACTATCGGCCATTCTGGATGAAGTCTCTAGGAATTATAGATCAAAACATCTGACAGATCCCACATGACATGTCACCAAACTAAGTCAGTAAGACTAAAAGTAAAGCTTGTTCACTGTTCTAATGAACCCAAGAATTTTATTCACATTTTTTTCCTCCATTCTAGGCATTTCACTCTCGTTTCTGCAATGTTTCTTTTTTCGTATTAATTTCTCTCTTTCTTCCCTGGTTGATAAAGCTAAGATAGACTTGACAATCAAGTTGATATTGCTCCAGCATTATCCACCAGTAGGATGCGTGCATCACAAAAAATCAAGACTTTATTATACTGTAATTTTGGAAATAAAATTAAAACTTTGCATTAAAAAAAGGTCAAGATGGCAACCTCCAATTGAACCTCTCTCCCCCTTTTTTTTACAAGTGTTACCATGTAAAAAAGACAGAGCTTTGATAGCATGATCAAGTTTACCATTCTGACTTTTGTGAACTCCCTGCAGTGGTCATTATTTATCTGTTTGCTTAAAAAAATGATAGGCGAAACCTATGCAGTATAATTCTTGGACTCACCCAAACTTCTACAACCTAAGTGACTCCATACTTTCAAGGAGTTTATGTCAATGAACATTGTAATGAGCGAGCAAAAAGGCTAATTATCTACAAAGTAAGGTTCTAAGGTTCAAAGTTAAAAAGTGCTTTCTGTGAAAAAAATTTTTTTTAAAGTATTCACTATTCATTTCCCAAGATCAAGAACAAAATGAACATAAAGTGTTCGTTTTCATTATAAGAGGATTTCCTTTTGAACTTGAGTAAGTTCCCATTTCAAGAAGGAAAAGGCTGGGAGACTGAACTTATATCACAATAAAAAGTCTGGAGATGGGGAGACACAAAAGTCAATCAGCTAGTAGACATGCTCAGTGTAAGAGCTTTGTGTTGCTTTTTGGGGATTCTATAAACTACCAAATTATAGGTACAGTTGGATTCCACCCTCTTGCACACACAAAAATTGTACCTGGTCTTAATTAACTTGATCTTCCCACATATATTTTTGTCATTTGTTCTTGGAGCTACTTTATTATTGTATTTATTTTGACAACCAAATACAGAATGTGCCAGCTTAATGACACTGATAGGATCTAATTTCTAGAATACCAATATAAAACTATATGGTTAATATCTAAATTGAATTTGTAGTAGACAGTCAACCAGACAGCCTATTTTTTTAAAAAAAACCTGCTCTTTTTTGCAAAATGTAGCATGATTTTACTATGTTGCTTTTGAAATAGCAGTGGAAAACACATCCAGCGCATGATCTAGAATAAGTGTGCTATTTTATTAAATATGTTTGTGAGCAAATGTAAATTATTATATTGTAATCATGCATTTCTGGTTCATTGCAGTTTGTAAAGAGTGTATATAAAATGTTTAATTCTAAACAAAACTTGTTTTGATAACTCATATTAGCAGCAGTTAAAAATTCAAAAGCTTTACAAATGAGGGCACACTGAGAATTTACATGGGATATTTTCTGCTTGTAGCCCACATACAATTGGAAATCTTCACTATTTCTTGCTTTTTTTTCTGTAAGAATTGTTATTTTCATAAGAACAGTATCACAGATAAAGTTGTGGGCGGTCTGCATTTAATATTTTGTTTGATCTAATGGTTATTCAATTGCTGTGTAATTGCAATGTTTATTATGATAATCCCAGTGTATGTATTTATCAAAAATGCTTTATTTCTTGAAAATGAAGAACTGTTGAAGGAAGTCAATCATAAGTATTCTAATTTTTTAAATAGTTGTTGGGTGGTACTGACTTAATTTTTTCCCTTCCAAATTTATGTACTCCAGATCCATCCAACTGCCAAATTCTGAATGCAGTTTAGAAAGGCAAAACATTTGTTCAAAAGCCATGCAGGGAGAAATTAATCAGCCTAATTTGGGACAGAAAACTGTCATAAAAATTATCTTTTACTCTTTTTCTTTTAAAATGCTTCACTGGATGAACCCATCAGAGATAAGATTTTAGTATAACTGGTTATTGTGTTCACCTATGATTGTTTTTTATGATGGAAAAAAATAAATAAAATTTCTTAAAAAAAAAAAAAGATTTTAGTATAACTGAAGGGATGATAATACAAATCTAAAATCATGCAGTAGTGCAGTATGAATGACTGCTTCCTTGATCAATTCAAAATTGGCTTGGTCTGGTTGGGCAGACTGGGTGATTTTCAGATTCTCAAAAATAGCTTTGTGTTGCTTTTTCAGTAGAATGAAATAGAGTGTCCTTCAAGCTGAACTTGACTTTTGATGATTCGTGTTGCTGGGGGGGGGGGAAGGTTGACAGGAATACAAAAGTAGCTTGTGCCTTTTTCCAGATTCTTTTTATTATTTTCTGTATATAGCTGCTCAAATCACTCCCAAATCCCAACTATGGAGAATAGCAAGTTTCCCCAAATTCATGAACACTAGATTCTTTTCTATGAACCCCAAATACTGCTTCACTGGGTATGGAGTCTTCTTGGAACTGCTGAAAGGATTGTGTTGTAGACTGGAGACAGATGATGTTGTATCCCTCCTCCTCTGTTGAGAGAGGGTTGTTCAGCTGACATAGTTGGCCAAAATTGAATAGTCTTCTCTCAACAGAGGGGGAGGGATACAACATCATCTATCTCCAGTCTACAACACAGTCCTTTCAGCAGTTTCAAGAAGGCTCCACACCCATTTGCATTATTCAGGTGACCTTGATGAAACAGATAAACCTCCAGGTGGCCTCAATGACTCTCTAAAAGAATGCAAATGACCAGCTGTCTGCAAGGAGAATAAATCCTTCCATTCCCCACCATCCAGTCAGAGCTGAAGAAGCTTCTTGGATGTGAAGTGAAATGTCTTCAAAGAAAAACAAAAAAGTCCAGTTGCCTCATGAAAAAGCACCTTTGGGATAATTATGACCTAGATGACCGAAAATCTCCATAGACATATAAAATATGTTAATACACAAAAATAAACCAAAAGTGTATTATTCTAATGTACTTCAAAAGTATTTCCAGGATAAATTCAGCATTAAAGTCTGGATCACACTTGGTTGTGTATTGCAGTTAATAGCACAGGAGGCAATTCCATTATACATAAAGCTTTTCATAGCTCATTTTCCAGATGGAGGGATTTCAGATAAACATTTCCAGTGTGACTGATAATTACAGGTCATGCCATTTACAGATGAGGTTTCTCCTTTCCAGTGAACGAAGTTTGTGTATTAAGTATGAACTTATTCCTAGAAACCATAATTAAAAAGAGAATTAGCTTGTCTCAATATAAAATACATAAATAATTAATTTTAAAGAGTTTTATATATACACACACACATTTGTTTATATACATTTATGTATATGAAATACTAACAGATTCCTTTCTTTACTGTTCCTTTGTACTTTTTGCTATCTGCATTATGACAAAAGCCATAGTGATACTAATATTTATAGATGCTATTTTAATTCCACTGAAATGGAATATTTTAATATCCCTTGTTAAAATTGGATTCCAGATATTGTAAGTTATATGGAAGAACATACAGTTTTTCAAGCTCTTCTCATTCCTCCTCTAAGTCTGTCCACAGCCATTTGTGTCATCTCTGCCTTAATCTATTTTCAATTGCTTATTCTTTACTTGCTTTCCACAGCAATCTGAATTGATAATGTTTTCTTACCTTTCTTTTTCCTTCAGCATTGTGTCTATCCAGATAGGCTTGAATGCCTGCACCATAATCAGGATGAACATCAGTAAAGTTTTTCACCTAAATTGGCAAAGGACATTGAGGTCATTTGTCTCTTTTGCTAATTCCTGTACTGATGAGGACAAGTAAATTGCTATTGGCACAGAGATCTGAAATTTCAATACACCAGGAGTGTATTTACTTCAATTACTCATATGGCAAATGTACTATTTTTCCTCTGAAAAGCTGAAAAATATTTTTACAAGAATAGAATAGAATAGAATAGAATAGAATAGAATAGAATAGAATAGAATAGAATAGAATAGAATTTATTTGACCAGTGTGATTCAGCACATGGGGAATTTGTCTCTGCTGCAGACGTTTTCAGTGTACATGCAAAGCAACAGAATAATAATAATCATAATAATACAATAAGAGAGGTTGTAAAGAAGATAATAAGGATAATACTGCAGTCATACTACATGGATTATATATATAGACTTGTAAATAGTAAACATATCTACATCTAATTTTAAAATGCTTTATCATAAATGGTTTATTTTTCTACCCATGGTGAAATATATTCAACACTAAAGTTAATCTAAACTGGAAGCTGACAACTTACATTTTTATTAATTTTCAAATTAAAATGTTGAAAAGGCTCCAATAGAACAATTATAAGGATTATTCAGAAGAAAACTTAATTGTGCACAGTGCACCTTAAGAAGGATGAATCTTAGAACTGCAGTCCAAATCAACTACTACTGAAGCTATCCAGAAAGATATCATGGTCGATGGTATCAAAGGTCGCCAAGAGGTCAAACAGAGCAAGACAGATGCACTACCCCTATCCCGTTCCCACCAGAGATCATTAAAAAGTGACCAATCCTGTTTCCGTCCCATATTCGGGCCTGAACCTGACTTGGAAGGGTCTAGATCAGGAGTCCCAATCCCTGTTCAGAACTGTGCGGTGCAAGCAGTGCACAAGCATGCACAGCTCCATTTGTGTGAGTGGCGGGCACCGGCACCCGTCGTTTGCTCAAATGGAGCTGCACACATAAGCATGCATGCCCGCTGTTTCTGTAGAACCATCCTCTCTTCCCCCCCCCGCTAGTCCACAAAGCCAGAAAGGTTGGAGACCCCTGATCTAGATAATCCATTTCATCCAGGAAACTCTGGAGCTGCTCAACCAACTTTCCTGAAAAGGGAACATTGGAAACAGGTTGGAAATTATCTAACAGAGTAGAAACTAGTGATGGCTTCTTAAGAAGAGGGCAGACCACAGCCTCCTTAAAATGCTGGGACAACCTCGTCCCACAGGGAAGCATTAATCACCACCAGAACCCACCTGCAGGTCAACTCCTGAGAAGCTTTCGCAAGCCAGAAGAAGCATGGATCTAAAATACAGATACTTGCATTCATATTGCGTAGAATCCTATGCACGTCCTCAGGAGCAACAGGGTTAAACTGTTCCCAGGTAACTGGCAATAACCTGCCCCAGGTGTCCCCACCAGACCAGCAACCATGCCGACATCTAACCGGGAATAAAGCCAAGCAAGTTTGTCTTCCAAAAATCAGCAAATTCCTCAGCAGACCCCTTCCTCCTTCCTCAGGATGAGATGGCTCATCTTAAAGAGGGTCACTGACAGGTGGTCTGCAGTTCACTGATCTTTACAGTTTGGTATCACCAAGCATAAGATTCAGTACCACAAATCTTTCTAGGAAAAGAAACTGGCAAATCAGAGTCAATCTCTGAGCTACCCATGGATTGCCTGACCCATCACATAATAAGACTTAAGTGGAAGAAGCATACTGAATTTTATAAAAATCAACATGAATTTTTCAGCAACATGCTTTCCAAGTATTTTTTAAAGTGTCAACAGCTGTGGTTTGGATTTTTTTTCCCTTCGGGGACACACGATATCTAACAGAGCACAAGAAATTTCTTTTTCTGTTTCAGATGTTACCTATTTTAAAAAATGAATTGAATTTGAAAGAATGGCAGAGAGACTTGAATCGTTTTATTTGGGAGGGCAAGAAAGCGAGAGTTAAATTCAAGATTATTCAAGATGTTAGAGAACGTGGAGGACTTAAAGCTCCAAATTTGATACTTTATTATGACTCTTGTGCATTAACATGGATGACGGACTGGATTAATTTGTCTAACAAGAGGATATTGAATGTTGAGGGATGGGACTTGTACTTTGGGTGGCACGCTTACCTTTTTATGCAGAAAAAGATTGATAAAACTTTTAGAAATCACATAATAAGGGCTGCACTGTTAAGAGTTTGGCAAAAGTACTTTCTTAAGTTTGATGTTAAACTTCCAATTTGGGTGATACCATCAC